CACCTGCTGTTACGATCAAATCCATCGAATGCGCTATCATCGACTACGCATTCATGCAAGGATGGATCAAAGCACGTCCACCACTGGAAAATACGGGAAAGCGCATTGCTATCATAGGATCTGGTCCCGCTGGTACTTCAAACTTTGCTGTGACTCAGTTGCTGAAATTATTGGACTAACTTTAGGCATGGCAGCAGCAGCTCAACTAGTCAAAGTTGGTCATACGGTCGTAGTCTATGAGCGGAAAAATCGCGTTGGCGGTCTTTTGAGGTGCGAATTACGAGATAGAGCTTTTGCCTTTTGTAGTCATTATCTTTCCTTATAGGTATGGAATTCCTACAATGAAACTGGATAAGTATATCGTGGATCGACGGGTGAAATTGCTTGAAGATGAAGGTGTGCGCTTCCTAACGAACACGGAGATAGGAAAGCACGTACCGGCTGACTTCCTTCTCAAGGTTTGTGCTGTTGCTACTCACTAACAAAGGAGGGTCGTTTAGTTAAAGCGGCGATGAGGAAGGTGATGTATACCGACGATAGAGCTTAGAAGGGTGATCCCATATATACCCTCTATATCTGCAAAGTTTCTTTCTGGAAAATGTTATGAGCTTTATGCCAAATTCGCATGCATAGTACACAGTTACGGTAGCTTTCACATGGGAGTAGCAAACTAATGAAATCACATAGCATCGTGCAATTAATCTAGCATCATCTGTAAACGTTCTTGAATGTTTTCCGGCCATGCAGATGTTCATAAAACGTAATTTTCGTTTTGTAATCACTTCTATTATGAATACTTAGTACGTCAAGTAAAGCAGTGAGTATCTAGGAAAGCCCTTAACTTTCTTCAGCAGAATGCTTGCAGACGAATAGGGCACAAATAAGATTAATGTTTTGAGCTCTATCCACAGGTGTGCATGATCTCTCAAATTGCCACATTGACCGAATGGCCTTTCTTTGTATCCTTTTCTACTTCTTTTTGACCTACACTGATTTCCTCTCAGGACAACGACGCTATTATCGTCTGCACTGGATCCACCACTCCTCGCGATCTCTCCGTAAGGGCTCTTTATTAAAATCTACCAGAGTTTTTAAAAATCTTGACAGGTGAATGGACGAGACGCAAAAGGCATCTGCTTTGCCATGGAGTTCCTGGAGAAGAGCCAACGTAGACTGGCTGGTGA